AGCTTTTAAGGGAACGGGCAAAATGCAGCATTAGAGTCAAATGTTAATGCGGTCAATTAGACCAACTTTTCCGTGCGAGGAAAAGTAAAGTCCATCCGACTCTTCTCCGGATCTCCGTGCTTCGCACAGCACAGCTAAACTCATTGGTCCCAACGCGCTTCCTTTATTCAACGCCAAAGCCACTGACATTAGATTATTATTATTATTATTATTATTATTATTATATCAAATTTTAAATGATTTTTAATTCCTGAAGAAATGCCCACGAGGGAGATTTTGAAGCACTTGGGTTCCGAAACCCACCCTCCTCGGTGGAACGAACATGGACCCAGCACTATCATTTCTAATTTTAAATATTCTCAAAACTCATATGAACAACGAATAAAAAATTAAGACTTGTGTTAAAAGAAACATACAATTTTTGCACACCTTTCACGACTCCCCGTCCAGCTTCAATAATCAATCAATATCTTTATGAGCTGAGCTGCCACCTTTTGTGAATATAAAGGCAACGCCATCCTCTTCCGCAAACATATCCAGCCTTCCACCTTCATTCCTCTCTCTGTTATCTCCTCACTCACTATTACCTCCAAATGGCGACGAGCGTTTCTTCTCCTTCTCTCCATCTACAATTTCCATTGACCAGAAAATCACCCAACCGTTCCACGCCTCTATTGTTTGTTCGTCCCGTCATCAAAGCCTCCGTCTCCGAGAGACCGTCCTTATCTGTACCGCCGGTGGTGCCTGCCGAGCTCCCCGTGCAGAAAATTCCTGGGGATTATGGTCTTCCTCTTGTTGGACCCATCAAAGACCGTCTTGATTATTTCTATAACCAAGGCCGAGACGAGTACTTCAAATCACGCATCCAGAAGTACCAGTCAACAGTTTTCCGCACCAACATGCCGCCCGGACCATTCATTGCTCCCAACCCACGCGTCGTCGCCTTGCTCGACGGGAAAAGCTTCCCCGTTCTCTTCGACGTCACCAAGGTCGAGAAGAAAGATGTGTTCACTGGCACTTTCATGCCTTCCACTGAACTCACCGGAGGTTACCGAGTTCTCTCCTACCTCGACCCCTCCGAGCCCGGACACGAGCAGCTCAAGCGCCTCATGTTCTTCCTCCTCAAGTCTCGCCGCGACAAGGTCATTCCCGAATTCCATTCTAGTTACGCCCAGCTCTTCGACACGCTCGAGAGCCAGCTTGCGGCGAATGGAAAAGCTAGCTTCGGTGATGCCAATGATCAAGCCGCTTTTAACTTTCTGGCTCGATCTCTGTATGGGACCAATCCGGCCGACACCAAACTCGGGCTCGACGGCCCAAAGATAGTCCAGAAATGGGTGCTCTTCCAGCTCAGTCCTATTCTCATTCTGGGCCTCCCAAAGCCCATCGAAGATGGCATATTCCACACCTTTCGTCTCCCTCCCGCCTTGGTCAAATCAGATTACCAGAGGCTATACGATTTCTTCTACGAGTCCTCCGGTTTCGTGCTCGACGAAGCGGAGCGTTTGGGGGTATCCAAAGAAGAAGCCTGCCACAACCTGCTGTTCGCAACGTGCTTCAATTCGTTCGGAGGAATGAAGATATTCTTCCCGAACATGCTGAAGCGGATCGGGCGGGCAGGGGTGAAACTTCACACGGAGTTAGCGAGGGAGATCAGAACGGCGGTGAGGTCGAACGGTGGAGAAGTAACGATGAGGGCGATGGAGCAGATGCCGTTGATGAAGTCGGTAGTATACGAAGCATTCAGAATAGAACCGCCAGTACCGTTACAGTACGGCAAGGCAAAGAGAGATCTAGTGATCGAAAGCCACGAGAAGAGGTTCAAAGTGAAGGAAGGAGAAATGTTGTTCGGGTACCAGCCGTTCGCAACGAAGGACCCGAAGATATTCGAGAGGGCTGATGAATTTGTTGGAGACAGGTTCGTCGGCGAGGGTGAGAAGTTGCTGAAGCATGTGCTGTGGTCGAATGGGCCAGAGAATCAAAATCCGACGGTCGACAACAAGCAGTGTGCCGGAAAAGATTTCGTGATGTTGGTGTCGAGATTGTTGGTGGTGGAGCTTTTCCTTCGCTATGATTCCTTTGAGATTCAAGTCGGATCCTCGCCGTTGGGTTCTTCCGTTACCCTCACCTCTCTCAAGACTGCAAGCTTTTGAGCAGCTTGCACTCCGATTTCGAGTATTTCCGCCTGATTTTGGAATCAGTGTAGCGAAGGGTAGGGTGAAAAGACGGCCTGCTCTGAAGTCGGACTTGCTGAAGAATACAACTATCATTTATCATGTGCCTTTGATGCAAGAAGTGACAGGGAAGAGCTAAAGAGAGCACAGCGAGACAGAGAAAATGACAGGGAAGGAGGGAAGGCGGAAGAGATTGGATCCGTTGGCCTCAGAGGAGGAACCAACATGTTATTGTATTAGTATATACACTAGGATTTTATTTTTCAATTTTTTGATTATTGAATATCTTATGAAAGTTGCGCCTACATGCCATACATACGATCCTGGGTGTGAAGTGTTTCTTGGTCTTAATTCGCAATCGAGCATGTTAAACGAGTGGGATTCGTGAGGTGAGCTTGAAGCAGCCGGTTCAGTGTTCATATAGCTGTGTTGGATGATTGAAGGGGCATGGAAGAAGACGCACAAAATAATGAAGCAGCAATGGCGGGGACGGCACTGTCATATCCATACATAAGAGGGGGGATGAATGAAATGGGCCGAGAAGGAGAAGAAAAAGCAGAGATAGCGATATACACGGGGAGCAGAAGATAGTGGGATGACGCTTCGTGTTGTGAGGGGGTATGTGGGTGGGGCCTCGTTGGAAGGAGGGGGGAGATTTGCGCTTCTCGTATTTGTGCCCAACGCCTACTGTACGTTCCACCATGTTTCCCAGTCCCCGCTCCCCGGTCCCCACCACTTCACATTCACATTTCATGCTACAACCACGGACCAGATTTTATAATTAGGATAAAAAAAATCTTTAATTTTATTAAATTTATTTTAAATTAATTTTATTTGTATTTGATGCATACATTTTTTACCAAAACAACAATAGACATAATAATAAATAAAGAGTGAAATAATATATTATGTTTCATAAATCTGCCAGAGGCATGACTGAGTGAGCCAGTAATATTATTGTTATGTTAAAAATTTAATCATATAATTTATAAATAGAATAAAAGGGTTATTTATTTATCTTATAAATAGGGTTAGAAGAACATTTTCTTTTTTATTTAAAAAAAGTGTATTTTCCTAGGGACAGTCGAGAAGAGACGCATCAAGTTTTAACAGCATGCATATATCCCTCTCTTAACCCTTTGATTTTCTTATGAGGCAATGCTCAAAAGACCGACGTGGAACTACCCCAGAGCCTTAATGCATTATTATGACAAATTGACACCCATAAAGATTGTGGAGGGGCATCACTGTCGATAAAGTCAATACAATATTAATATAAAATTTTATTGCAAAATGAGAGCTCCGCACTAGAAAATTTGAGCACATCTATGTTTATTGGTTTTTTTTGGCATGAAGCATTAAAGATGAAGAATAAAGACTATGATTACAATTTTAAAAAAAAAAATTATTCAAAAAGTATTTAGCATAAGTAATTACTTGTTATGTGAGATTAGATAAATCTATTGAAGTAAGATCGGGGAATATCACTTCCCCTTATAGTATTTTCTATTCCCACATACATAGATTTATCTAATCTCATATAATAAACAATCTTTCATACTTAATACTATTTTCTTAATCTCAATCTTAATTTTTATCCTCTCATTTTTAATGTTTCATGTCAGATCTGCCAAAAGAGTGAGGCCCAAATTGCATTCTGAATTGAGCCTCATCATGTTGAGAGCTTCAGCGTAGGGATGCACGCCTTCGAGCTCAAAGTCGACATTCTCAGAAAACGGCATAATGTCAGAGCTGCGAGTTGTCCATCTCATTTTAGTTGAATTATTAACGTCATGATCACAACTTGACAGTATAAACAGAGAAATCCAGAGGTAAGCCGACAAAGAAAAGCAGGGTTTAGCTTTACATTTAAAAAAAAAAAAGCCGTTATTGAAAAGTTTAGGAATATGCTTGAAAGTATTCCTTCAGTCATTAATATAAGATCCATTTAATTAATTTGATTAGATTAAAAAGTTAGGTAAGTTAGTTAATTATAAGAAATGTGACATATTTTTCCTAAAATACCATAATCATCTTTTATAATCCCCTTCTTTCTCTTCTACTTAATTATGGTTGAGGGAATATTCATAGGGGTAATTTAGAGAAAATTGATAAATCTGAGAAATAGATCTTATATTTAGGACCAAAACTAATTCAACAATTGGGTCCTATATTAAGGACCGGAGGAATAGATAAACAGATTTTTTTTTTTTGGGGATCAAGTAGATAAACAGATATTGAGCGCGGGAGTTGTGTACATACATATTTTGACACCATTTGGCATCAATTTTCGTGCACTTATGCGCTTGCATGAGATTCATTTTTTGGGGGAAAATATTTTTTACATTATATACAATATACGGCTGCCTAAATTTTAACTGTTTATTACCAATTTATTTTGAACATGGCATTCCAAACAAAAAGGAAAAAGAAATCAGCTTAGTATCCTCGCACCCAGAAATAATAAAATTGTTGCAGGTGTCAGTATCTTGTTGATTCTGCAGCTCCGCCATCAATAATTTACTCTAATTAAATAATTTGATGTATGATTTAAAACTACGTGCCTCTCCCTCCCGGAGTGAGTACGTACTGGTATTCTTAGGCATAGTGTTCCTGCTTTTGCTCTCTGCCAACCAATCCATCCGCGTCCGTCCCAAATCACAATTATCAATTTCTGTGTTCTGTTATTTTTCTGACAATAATTCCTGCGTTGCATGCACCCTTCTTCCCATAATGTGATTGCGGAGAGGAATTGGGGAATAGATATATCAATTGGTAATGACGACCGAGAGACCTGACGCCATGGTTTTCCACGCCAACACCATGCCTCGCCCCACCAACATGCATTCCGACTCCGAAGACGACTACGTCGCTCGTGAGAGCAGCGCCTCCGCCGCCAGCCATGGCCACTTCGACTCCGGCCGTATCAGTGGGGAGGGATCCCCCATGATGATGTCCCCTTGGAATCAGACCACCATGCCTCCCTTTGCCAGCTCTTCCTGGTCCACCGACGATGAAAACGCCCCCCAGAATAGTCTCATCGGCTCGCTTGTTCGTGAAGAAGGCCATATCTATTCCTTAGCCGCTTCCGGTGACCTCCTCTACACCGGCTCCGACAGTAAGAACATTCGCGTCTGGAAGAACCTTCAAGAGTTCAGCGGCTTCAAATCAAACAGCGGATTGGTTAAAGCCATCATCATCTCCGACAGAAAAATATTCACTGGTCACCAGGACGGTAAAATTCGCGTTTGGAAAGTCTCTCCGAAAAATCCCAGCGTTCACAAGCGTGCCGGCACGTTACCTTCTCTGAAAGATATCTTCAAGAGCTCCATCAAGCCCAGCAATTACGTGGAGGTTAAAAAGAACCGAACCGCGCTATGGATCAAGCACTGCGATGCCGTTTCCTGCCTGTCCTTGAGCATGGATAAGACGATCCTGTATTCGGCTTCATGGGACCGAACCATAAAGGTATGGAGGCTATCTGATTCCAAGTGCATGGAGTCGATCAGCGCCCACGACGATGCAGTGAACTCGGTGGTGTGCGGGTTGGACGGAATGGTGTTCTCAGGATCAGCGGACGGCACGGTGAAGGGGTGGCGGAGAGAGCAACAAGGGAAGGGCACGAAGCACGTGGCGGCACAGACGCTGTTGAAGCAAGAATTTGCGGTGACCTCATTAGCAGTGGACCCCACTGGGAGCATAGTGTACGGAGGGTCCTCGGACGGGATAGTGAATTTCTGGAAGAGAGAGAAGCAGTACGCGCACGGAGGGGAGATGAAGGGACACAAGCTGGGAGTGCTGTGCATGACGGCGGCGGGGAAGTTGGTGTTCAGTGGGTCGGCGGACAAGACGATATGCGTGTGGAGGAGGGAGGGGGATATTCACACGTGCCTGTCCGTGCTGACGGGGCACGACGGACCGGTGAAGTGCTTGGCGGTGATGGAGGACAAGGGAGCATCGGGGAAAGGAGACGAACGGTGGGTGGTGTACAGTGGGAGCCTGGATAAGTCGGTGAAGGTTTGGAGCGTTACGGGGCAGAACCTGGGGACAGGGCAGCAGCTCCCGGATTTCGACTCCATCCCATCGGATGGCAGCTTCTCTTCTTCAACCCGACCCAACAACAAAAGGTAATTTCTTCACTTGCGGGTATGCCAGCATTTCTCCAAGTGAAACAAACTTAATGCCACCAGCCAAAAGCATGTATTTTAATTTTAACAGTATATATATATGCACCCACCATCAGCCTGCAGAAAATGGGAATCAACAACTTTGCGCTTTCATTTTTCTTTGTATGACTGCATCTGATACAATCATATGTATGCATGTCAAACCTCAGGTGTAATTCTTTTGCTTTCATTTCACGGGTTAATGAATTGACCCTTTCTTTATTTAATTTACTGGTTAAAAAAAAACGATGTTTATACAACTTGATAAGAATCCCAGTGACCACGGCCTGAATCTCAGTGACCACGGCCTCCAAATTTCTTTCCTTATACGTCAAATCCGGTTATTATTTAATATCCATACTGAAGTTCACAAACAGATACGTGTGTAGTAACATACGAGTGCATCGTTCACAGCCATTGATACATTTATATGGAACTATATATATCCGGGAAAAGAAGATCAAATATCACGTCCAAGAAGACTCAACTTATTTCTTTCTTTTCCCCCACAAATGCACATGTGAAATGCACCTTGTTGTATTGTATAACAATTTTGACACTACACTGTGCAAACAGCAGCCAGATTTAGGGTGTGCGCGTGTGTGTTTCTTTTCTTTTTGGCCCAAACACACACTTAGCGCGTATAGGAAAATATAGTGGTTTATACAATGTGACAAGGATTTGGTATTGTGTTGCAACTTGTGATGAGCTTGGACCTACAGAGATGTGCAGACCCATACAAACAGTGTTTTCTAGAGCCCAAATCGCCTCCGCAGAGGTAATAAAATAAATGAGTAAAATTCCCTTTTTCTACCATTAACTTAATGTGCGTGCTTCTGGGTCTTGATCAATGTGAGAGCCTACGAGAGTGGCTTCTTGTACCTCTTTGTTGATTGTGGGACGTCAGTCCACTTAAATGGCCACTTCTGTTACCAACTGAGTTCAGGTCTAAACCAATAGGACGAACTGGATCGCCCCCTTCCAGCATTCTGAGGATCTACAATAAACGGAAGCAATGTCAGTCCATGACTTGTCTCTTTGAATCAAGCAGATTCTTTTTGTTTTTCTCTTGAGAATTTCTACTCTATGTTCTTAGAACCCAATTTCATCGAATAATTTAAATACTCAGACGCACCTTCGACATTGGGGGTCTGGCATCAGGATCTAAACGTAGACACAAGGAAGCAGCTCGGGCCATTGCTTGTAACTGAAGATTAAATTCCTGTGACCCCTCAAACTCCAAGCATGGATTCAGAACTTGGAGGTTTTCTAAAATATGATTGGGTTCTAACATGAGCAAGGAGTGAAAGAATTCGGAAAGAAACGAGGGTCCGTTATTATGTGCCAACTCACTAATTCTTCGACCTGTTATCAACTCTAACAGGACAGTTCCAAATGCATACACATCTACTTTATATGTAAGATTTCCAGCGTCAAGATACTCCGGCGCAAGATACCTGAAAGAGCCCCACATGAGAATCAAAATATATAAAATGATAGCTTGATGACTGCGTAAACAGAACAAAAAAGTACCCTGAAGTTCCAATCCCTCGATCACCAGCATTCATATTCCATTCCGACTGCCATCTTGCAAGGCCAAAATCCGCCACCTAAATGCGCAGAAAATTATTAGATTTATTACTTGCTATAATTTCTAGATATTCGTTCAGTAATATACAGCTAGCAAGTATTGGCAAAGCATTGAGCCAATTGTAAGGAGTCGCTATTTATATGATGAAAAGAGCTCACGCCATCACTTCTGAAAGCAAACTTGCGCGTTTATGATAATTTTCTCAACCGACTCTTGCAACAAAATGATTGGGGATAAAACTCTAACATTGAAAAAGGAAAATAATTGATGGTAAGAGATTCGGGATTGTTGTTTCGAAACTACAAGATCGCAAAATACAGAGGCTTCGGAAATGATGAGCCAGCGAAATTACCACAGGCTCAAAATCATGGGTTAAGAGGATATTCCTCGGTCGAAAGTCTCTGTGCACAATACAGCCCACTCTACAATCCTCATGAAGATAGCGTAGGCCTCGGGCAGCTCCTATTGCTATCTTTAGGCGCGAGCTCCAGTCTAGAGCTCCTCTGTTCTTTCCTGCAAATATACAGTACATAAAAAACTTAGATTTCAGCATTCAATTGTCGAAGAGGACTTAATCATGTAGAAACTGCAAAATTTTGGATTTTGTGAGCTGATATTTCGGTGATTAACTGAAAAGAAAGGAGCTGGTACAAACCATGCAGATAGAGTTCTAAGGATCCATTGCATATGTACTCATAGACTAGTATCCTCAAATCGCCTTCTACGCAGAATCCTATCAACAGCACAACATTTCTGTGTTGTGCGCAGCTCAATACTCTGACCTCCCTACAGAAATCAAGATCTGCTTGAGAGCCACTAAACTTTAACTGTTTCACTGCAACGGCCTGGCCATCTCGTAGCACTCCCTTGTGAACTATCCCAAATCCACCTTCGGCCAAAAAATTGATATCTGAAAACATACCAGTGGCTTCCTCTATTTCTCTGTAATGAAAGCGTCTAGGAGGTTTTCCAAAAACTGGTGCTTTGTTTTGACAGTGTGAGCATAGGGGAGGAGGTACTGAGGAAGTTCTAACTGCAGGAATGTTATCCTTGATGCCAGATTTGGCGATATAATTTTCACTTTGAGCTTGTTTATGTCCTACTTCATCACTCCAGATCTCCTGATCACAATGTACAAATCTTTCAAGTAAAGTTTTAGAAGCACTAGATTTAGATCTTAGACTAATTCTAGTGCTTTCTGTTATTTGAAGCTTCTTATCGGCAAGGTGATTTTGAGGACTCCAAACCACACGTTTCTCATCACTAGCCACAGATGATACCGCGGATTTGGTCAAAGGGAGAGTCCTTTCCCTGTCCGATTCAAAGGCTAATGGTGCCTGGTCGTCGAAATTTTTTGGTTCATTGATTGGTATCTGTTTCTTTCTCTGTGGACCCTGACCCTCGAACAGAGGATTTTGTTCATATATCAGGAAAAAAGAAGTCAGTTTGTCAGAAGATGACACTGAATTTGCTAAGGTGGATGTTGTATCAGAAGTAGCTACTTCTTCAGGGCTACTGACGGGGGTGGAGGGCTTCAATCGGTGACGTCGTAACCTTTCAATATCTCTTTCTGGGGAAGAGGCTGCAGAAAAGGTGGGGCTTTGGAATTCATCAGAGACCCTAAATTAAGCCTCAAAACCTTTGGCTGTGAACCACTCATCAACACGATATTACATTGGAGTTCATCCATGCAGTGCTTCACCTCTTGTTTCAACTTCCTGTTTCAGAAGCGGCAAAAACAATTAACTAATATTTCATTCGGGCTTAAAAGTAATAAGATGCGATTATTCAGTCCTAACAACTCAGAAATCAAAGAGAATGTTCCTCAAGTATGTCTTTGGGAGTCCCTTTTGCTGGTCGAAATGTCTTTGGTTTTGTTAAATTCCACTACCCTAGTGTGAATCTGATGAGGCCATTCTCAACGGGGCAATATTGTATTCTCTAAGACATCCTCTTCACTACAAAATCCTCATTTTGGATTGTAAGGTAAGAGTCGATCAGCAATAGCCATTTCACGGTGTCTTGTCCTATTTGTATGGCATTGACTGATGGGATCATAACCAACTTGCAAGCAGCTAAATAAATTGAATAGCTCAGAAAAAGAAAAATACTTTTTTCACGTTTAATTACTTGTCCAGTATGACCCAATTAGACCCGCTACATCTTGCTTCAGTTGCCACCGCACCACTAGGCGTACCCCCCACCACCTTGACCTTCACCCTCACCTGTATTCACCAAAAATTACAAACAGTAAATTCAACAAGCGAATATATCCTCATAACAAAACCGTAGTTAATCATTATTTTCTTGCCCGCGATGTTCAAGAGGTCTATTTTTAAAACATTATATATGACTATTTCCCGACCAGCAATATTTTAAAACTGTAGTTCTATTTTCTTGGAGGGAGGAAACAGAGAATGAGAGAAATAAGCTAATTCAAAACATTCCAAAAAGTGATGAATATTAAAACTAATTCCCGTGAGATAAGTGCTTACCTTTGTTATGTATTACTCCTCCGGTCCTAATTATAAGACCCAATTGACTTATTTGAGGAGATTAAGGAAGTAAGTTAAGTTGGTTATTTATAATAAATAAGTGTTGTCATTCCTAAAATATCCTTGCTAATTAAATATATTGGCTAAAACTATTATTATTAAAAGGATTATCTTGGAAAAAAATGCATAAATATAAAGACAAAATGGATTGGGTCTTATAATTAGGACCAAATAAAAGTTAAATTGGGTCTTATAATAAGGACCGGAGGAGTATTACTATTCTTCTATTTCACACTCACGTTAATAACGTCCTATACGTAATATTAATTTCTGAGCTTCTTACACTGAGCAAAACACTTAAATTTTATATATATATATAGAAGTATACACTACCTAAATATCAAATGAAATGACTCGTGTGTGTGTGTGTGTATTCTGAGCTTATTACACAGAGCAAAACATTTAAATTTAATCATTTATAATTAATTTTTTATTAACTTCAATTTAAGTATCGATTATGATCATCACAGCAGGAATAACTAATTACTATTAAATATCTTCGCTTGTTCTGTTGCGTCCGTACGTTATAATCCTTTTCAAAATTTCACCTTTTTTTTTTTGGCAATCACTGATGATATTTATCTTTGAAAAAAATTGAGGGGATTCATGAAAAATAATTTTCTTGGTGAAGTTATTTAATGAAATGATCATGAAAAGTCTTTCCCAACAAGATGACACTTGATCCAAAACAACAAAAACTACATATTTTGTTATGATAAATGAAGCTTATAGCAGATCTTTAAGGCATCGTAAAGCATATGGCAAAATATTGCTTAAACAAATAAATGAATCACTCGTCAATTATGATTGTCAGAGAGAATATCGGGATTACGAAACTCAAGGTAAAGATGAAAACTCAATAGTTACTACTTATTCCCATTATTTTTATAAATAAATAATCGTCAGATTGAAAACTCATTTGAATTCGA